CTGCGATTAAGCGTAGTAGCGCTTGAATTCAAACTATTTGGCAATGTGGATGATGACGTTGATGAATTGGATGCTTTCTTCGTGGCATCATTTCTTTCTTCTGATTGTTGTGAACGTGATCGTGTTCGGGTTCGTGTATTGTGCACAACTGAAAATATTTTAATAAACATTAAATCGAGCTTTCTTATAAAAGTAATCTTGTCTTTTACGATAACTTACATGTCTGTGTAGACATTAGATCCATATCATCTGTGGTCGTAATACTGTCTTTACTGGACTGTGTCTCTCTCGATTTGAGTCTGGTGTTGCGTTTGGGTGGATCTTTTGTTTCTTTTGGCGGTGGCTTTTCGGACGATTGTTGCCGTGTATTGCGTCTTGGGGGACGGACTTTTTCAGTTTCTTCTGATTCTTTTTCCTTTTGTTGCCTTTGTTTAGCCTGTTTCACAGTTGTGATTTCATCTTCATCTTTCCCGCTATCTTTATCCTGTACCGATCTGGTGAGTCGTTTGGATGAAGCTTTCTTCTCTTTCTTTTCATCATTCTTTTTTGGTCTCCCACGTTTTATAGTTTTACTAGATGATGATGATGTTTCATTTTCTTCAACTTTTTCCTTGATTTCTTTGGATTTGTCTTCTTTTGAAAATTCCGCAGGGAGAGGCTCCTTTTTCTTTTGGCGAGAGGAAGATTCCTTAGTTTTAACTTCGTTAACAGTTTTCCTTCTATCCTGTTTTTCTCGATCCCTAGCCGCATGTCTTTGATCACGACTGAGAGTAGAGGATGAGCTCGTTGATTTCCTATCCTTTTTAGCATTTGGTTCCTCGCCAAATGATGTATTAAATTTGTATTCCTTTCTTGCTTCTATTGCCGCCTTTTGCTCTTTTGTAATTTTTGGTTCATTCTTAATTCCATTGCTTGCTTCCTGTTTTAGATGTGGCAATAGTTTATCAAAATCATTTGTATTTTTAGGTACATTAATTAGTTGAACCAAACATTTGTCATTTTCACAATCTTCACTCTTATCATCCTCATCGTCGTCGTCATCGTCACCAAAAAGATTTTTATTCTTAACTGCCAGCATGTTTTTTCTCAAATCATCGGCTTTTGAAAATGGAATGTGATCTTTTATGAGCTGTGGTGTACACATTAACAAATCCATATCAGATTCGGTGGATGTCGTGCTGGCAGCAGACGACGTTTTCTTAATTGTGGAGAAATTTTTCTCTGGCATTTTGAAGACATTTGAAGTGGCAATTGTTTTGTCCAATCCCTTCGGACTTGTTTCCATTTCGGCAAAGAAGGAAGCTGGATTTTTAGCCACCGCCTTATCTTCCAATAAAGTGGAGTTAAAGCAGTGATTCACAGATTTCACGCTTGATGCTCTGGAAGATGTGCTTTTTGGTGGTGGTGGTACAAATGCTTGGGTTAGAATATCATCTTCCTCATCACCCATGACATTGACGGTAGGTTCTGCTAATAAATCCTCCTCAATTTGTTTTTGACTGGTGTTTGAAGTAGGTACTCGTTTGTGTTTTTCCTCGCTTTTGGTTGCATTACTTTTACGTGACGAAGACGTAGAAGTTGAGGAATGTTCCGACATAGCTGGAACACAAATTGAAGTTTACAATTATTTCTGGAAACATGTAACACAATTTCGCACTTACCATCATTGCTGGCAAAAAGTTGTGTGGGTGGCAAATCGGAAACGGGATCCAACTTATCTGGATGCATATTTTCCTTGTCACTTAGTGTTAAAAACGGTTCATCTTCTTTACTCTCAAATATATTTTTATCTTTGGATGTCTTATTTTTGTCCAAACCACTGTTGGTATTATTTGAGGATGTGTTCGAAGCTGGAAACATTTGTGTTGCTAAATAATCCTCTTCGTCATCCAAACCAGCAGGAGGAGGATCATTCTCAAAAAGATTCACAGCAGCATCGGCTAAATCTGTAACAACTGCATTATTCTCGTTTGCAATAGCCTCTAAAGCTTGACAATCAAACAGATCTGGCGTAGAACAATTCAAATCATCGTTAACCTGGGGATTAGGTGGTGGATTTTGGGCAGCAAAGGAATTAATATTGGCCACCTCATTATCATCTTCAGTGGGTTCTTTGTTGGGACTTGGTTCCTGTCTGGCTGGTGCAACACTACTGTTCAATAAAACTGTATTGTGTCTTATTAGCGGGATAACCTGTGACTGCATTAGCGAATTATCCTCCTCGCCAAAACCTTCATTGTAGTCTTGTGTAGAAATCCGGAACTGACTACCACTACTGCCATTTGCAGCGCCGAAGGAACCATTTATGCCCTCATCATCTGAATCATTCAAGTCAACTGACTTTTCTTCCAAAGGCTTCATTTTATCCATGTATGGCCGTGGTCTCTGGGAACTTAACACCTCTTGTGTTTCTGGTATACAAAAATCATCATCACCAGTGGAATTATCCAATCGTGTTTTATCGCCCTCTGAGGTTGTACTTTCGGCTATGGAAAGATTGGAGGCTAGTGATGCCCGCCCGCCACAATATTGGGTTTCGGGTATCATGAAACTATCACTGGAACGGCCTCTATTTGACGTATTAAAGCCTATTGAACTGCGGCGGCTATTTGAGAGAGCTGCTTCAGTTTCTGGTACTACAAAACTATTGCTGAGCCTCGAAGACTGGGACTTTGCTGCTTGCGCTTTACTTGACGAAGACGGTATTGCAGGCATCAAGAAATTATCCGAGCTGTTATTGTTTAAGCGTTTCACTCTGGAATCTCTATGCGTTGTCGTCTCAGGACTAGAGGCAATTATATCGGATGTGTTTTTGTTATTATCACCAAAACCACTGCTGTCATGGGACTGAAAACCAAACTGATAAGACTCAAAATAATAGATATTTTGAAAACTAACTTACATTCTCCATTTGTTCATCATTGTGGAATCGTAGACACTGAAAACGGCCAAGTCTTACTTCATCTCCAGTCTTGACCGAAACCTTTGTAAAGGGCCTTAAGCGTTTACCATTAAGGTAAGTTCCCTGCGAGCTGAATAAGTCGTAAACGTAGACATCTTCCTGGGCAAATACACCCACACAGCAATGTTTCTCATCCACATCCTGTACAAATACATATATAAATCATGAAGACAAACAACGCTCTTCCAAAAAGTATATCCATTAAATTACCTCGTTTTCAATATTGAAGACAAACTTTGTGTCATTTGGAGGTAGCAATTTACCAAACAAATATAACTGGCCCACCTCAAGCATATGACGCTGTCCGTTTATTTCCAAAGACATTATCGAAAGCTAAGAAAAAGATGACATTTTTAATTTATCTTTCAATAATTTAAATACAGTATGCTTACATTTTCATTCATTGCTAGGATTGTGCGTATTTTACTTAAATGTTTTTATTAAATTGCTATGGTAAAATATATTCTGTAATGTTTCCAACATTTAATCCCGCGAAATTCAATGTTTATCAAAAAAACCTTAAATACCTTGGCTTGGCAATAGGGATCTGTAAGTCGAGAAAAGGACTTGGCTTGCGAATGATGATAGAATGTGAAATTCAATGAACTAAGTTACGAATATCGTGGGAAGAGGAAATCAAGATATGTTATTAAAATCTTGATGATAATTAATTATCATAAAATGACAAAGTTTAAATAAAATGTTAAAAATTCCGAGAATATGTCTTGGTTGTTTTTCCTATATGTTTAATTTATATGTTAAGTGGTGCAATTTTAATGTCAGATATATAAATTATGTGAAAGGACACAGATAACACAGTATTGCACGCTTGTGGAATTATCACCTATTGAGTTTAGATTTTTTTCCCATTCTAATAATGCCTTTTGTTTGAAAATGTTGAATCATGTCCTGCATCCCGGTATATATCCCAATTAGTTTTATTTTCGTTGTTTTGAGCTTTTATTTTCTTTTTTATAATAATTTTTAAATTATTTTTATACCGGCTTTATTGTTCACCTTTCTTAAAAAAAAATTTAATTGCTTGTTGTTGGTTATTTTGCCTCTATGGACTCATTTTTTTTACTTTTGTTTTTTTTTTTGTAGTTTTGGCTGGGGAGCCTTTTATAATTTGTTTTTTAATAATGTTATAGTTAATTATAAGTTATTTTGAATTTCTTCTACTTGGTTTTGAGTACCTTATTAATACAATTAATTGGCCTTGGAGGCTTTAGTATTAAGTATGAATTGAATAAAGAAAGAAAGAAAGAAGATAATATACACGGTACCGGTGCCCATCGAATTATAAGCAAACTAAGAGTACATCTCGTGGTATCTTTAATGTGCAGTACAGGGTTTTAGACTTCTTAAACAATTTTCGAACATATAAAATATATAAAAATATTTTATTTTCTTGGGTCGATCCTTGATAATTCTACCATGCCCTTAGCATCGGAAGAAAATGTGATTTATGCCGATTTTCCATTTCTGTTTAACAAAGTTCTGTCAAGTAAGTAATAAGCAATAATCGAAATTTATTTGAGTATCATATACTCCACCATTTTATATGCATTCCTTACTATATATTTAAGTAAATAGCTCCAGCACAAAAACCTCCTAAATTTAAAATCATGCCAACCCGCTCAAGTTATCAGTTCAGTATGAATGACACATATCAGTTTCCTCTCCAAAATGAGTTTCTGATTCTTTTCGATCTAAAAAGCCCTGCATTTACTGTGAGTTTTTTAATGTTCCCTCGTAAGGCTTTTATATGGCTTTCTTACGATATATATAAGCAATTTCTCCCAGGGGGTGTACATTTTCAGTGCAGTCAATATATATATTGCAATGCACAAAAACCTCTTTAATTTAAAATCATGCCCAGCCGCTAAATTATTAGTTCAGTGTGAATGATGGCATATCTGTTTCCTCGTACAAAATGTGTTTCTGGTTCTGCATTGACTGCGTCTTCTATCTTCAAAGCCCTGCTTTTTCGGTTTGTTTTTGTTTTGGTTTACATTTTTATCGTTCATTACGTTTTGCTTATTGGTACTGATAAGGAGTGTGCTTCTTCTTCCCATATCGTTTGGAACGCTTTTAAATTTGTTCGTTTACCAAGCCGGTGGAAAAACAATTCGGTGTACAAACAAGTTAATACTTTTTAACAAAATTATTAAATTATTGTCAGAAACAGTCTTGAGAATATGTCTCCATTAATACCTCTACGAGATCCTAACGAGGATTACAATATAAAACGTTTTTACAATTGTGTTTGCGCCCAAACAATATCAACGTCGGGCAAGTTTCTGTTTGCCGGTAATCGGGCGGGAGATATTTTTGTGCAAAAGTAAGTGAAGGAAAATATTATTTTAAATTATTGTTAACAGTGAAAATACATTTTCAGTATTACCAATTTCCAGAATTCAGAGGAAATGCGACCACCCCTCAAAATATATCCACAAGGCGAGGAATGTGAAATCAACTGTTTGAGCTTCCATCGAGAATTCCTTATTGTGGGCTCGATTGGGGTGGTGTATGGTTTAAAATGGGTTGAGGATAAGGCTGAACTGGCCACTGGTCGTGCTTGGGAAATCAAAATACCCATTGATGTGGAAGCCATCGAAGTTCCAGATGTGAATTATATGTGGCTGCGACCCGAAACCGATTTGCTTTATGTTGGCTGTGGTGATAATGTAATTTATGAACTGAACTTAGAAGATGGCCGTATAACACGAAGCTTCAAGGGTCATGAAGATTATATACATGGTGTATGTGGTTCGGGTACGGATAAATTATATTCCGCCTCCGAAGATGGCAGTATTCGTATGTGGGTGACAAATCAAAAAGAAAGCACAGGCCTCATTGAACCATACAAAAAAGACACATTGGTACGCCCTGAAATGGGCAAATGGCAAGGTGCATTGGCCACCAATGACGATTGGCTGTTGTGTGGTGGTGGACCAAAATTATCCCTATGGCATTTACGTTCCATGGAATGTACAAGTGTTTTCCCATTTCCCGGCAAGGTACATGTTTGTGATTTTGTCGAAGATATGATATTTGTTGGTGGTGAACATACTAATGCCCAATTCTATGCCATGAATGGTAAACTGAGAGCTGATATAAAGACTGAAAACACTGCGGTGTATTCGGCGGTATGGAAGACGGAACCGGAACGTTTTATGTCCATTGCTGGCTATAGTAATTGGTTGTCGATATTAAATGATTTTCGCTTTTTGGATAGTAAAATTGAATTGTATGAAAGTAGAAGTAATAGTGATACAACTACAGTTAAGGGGGAGAATGGTGTGTAAAATAAAATAAAGGCTAAGAAGACAAATTACGAAATCTAATTGGTAATGTATTTGAATTTATCTGTAGAGCTTTTTTACTAACATTTTTATTTTCAATTCATATTTACAGAAAATGTTTGAAATACTAACAAAAATCAATCAATCTTTTTCTCAATAACAACAATCAAATCAAACTAACAACTTTTTTAATAGAAAGGTAAGTCCTATATATTCATGTTAACTAACCAAAGCAGAATTTGGAGTCCGAAAGTTTTATCTAATTGAATGGTTTCTTCGCATCACTCTTTGATACGTCCGTCAGAAATAGAGATGTATTTTGAAAATTAAAGCCGACGCATTGTTCATCATATCAATCTTGAATGCAGTTGGTCATGGCTTCAAAAGTGGCCTTTAAACCCTAGCAATGCTTACTAGTTATTTTAAAATTACATAAAGTTATCATCAAGTTTTAATATTTTTTATAAGCTAAGAACAAGCTAAAAAGTAGCAGTCGGTTTGCCGACAGATGTATACTCAGCCAATATTGGGTTATTTAAATATATTTTTACTTCTGTTATGATTATTCAAATTGTTGACCCTCTATGGAGTAGGTTCCTAAGGAATGGTCCAATATTGTCCACTTCGTATCGGACCTAAATAAATATGAAATAAAATTGCGGCGTGCCAGGTTTGGACTATAGTCGTTACTTCCTAAAGACAATCGTGATAATTTTTAGAAAGTGTTAAAATGTGCTTGTGGTACCAGATATAGTTGACCGAAGTACTCTATTTTCATACTTCATCTAATACAGATATAAATATTGGAATGGGCAAAACTACAAGAAAATCGAACGGAATTTATACGAACGAATTTATATCCAATTTTATGCGAAGTCATAAATTCCATATTCATCCAGAGTATCTGGTAAAGAATCGCTGACTTGTTTTGCAAGTTATGACAGATAAACGTATTGAAAATTGTGACCCTTTGTGGGCGAGGTACTGGAGGGGCTTCGCAGATATATATCATCTTCACAACAGATCTTGTGTTAGCAAAAATGTCTTTATGTGTGAAAGCTGAAGAGAGTAGGATGCTTATTTCGCTTTCTTTGACCGTTTTGTTTTTCAAAAACTTGAACCCCATGTGGGCGAGGTCCCAGAAGAAATGTTCCGCTCCTCTACCAACTTTATAACAGATCTTGTGTTGATCGAAATATTGAGATGCAACAATTCTGAATGGAATCGTATGTTAATTTCGAGCTTTATGAGCTTCATAGACTTTCAAAATGTTGACCCTTAGTGGGGAAGGTACCTGAAGAATTTGGCTGATATATTCTATCTTCACAAGAGAATCTGATGCTTATTTCGAATTTTATGCTCGTTTTGGTTTTTCAAAATTTGGACCCTTTGTGGGGGCGGTACCAAAAGGAATGGCCCTATATCTATCATCTTTAAAATAGACCTTGTGTTGATAGAAATATTGAGATGTTGCAGGATTGAATGGCATCGGATATTAATTTCGTGTTTTATGAGCTTCTTGGTTATTCAAAAGTATGACCGTTTGTGGTGAAGGTACCAGAAGGAATGGACCGATATACCCCATCTTCACACCAGATTTTGGTTTCGTAAAAATATTTTGATGTGGAGATCACATTTTATGAGAGATAAAATTATTCAAAATTGCGACCCATTGTGGGAAAGGTACTTGATGGAGTAAGCCGATATTGTCCATTTTCACAACTGACCTAGCACTAATCCAAATATTAGGATTTGCTAAGTTAAAGCGAAATCGGAGCAACATTCCTCTTTTTGTGCTGTAAAATATTTTGTTTGAAAATGTTGACACTTTGTGGGGGAGGTACCAGAAGGAGTGGACCGATATTGGCCATCTCCCCACTCGATCTAAGTTTGATAATAATATTACGATGTACGTTGGATCAAATCGGATACTCCCTTCGAGAGTTATCGTGCGCACCAGGCAGACAGACATACGGACATGGCTAGATCGACTCCAAATGTCCTGAAACGGATTTGGGCCCAAGAGACATAGGGTATAAAATCGTTATTTCGATGAGGCACATTTTCGTCGTCTCAAATGATATACATACTCTCTCTAGCCATAGGACTGAGGGTATAATGAGGCATATTCCTCTATGATCCATCCTATATTCGGTATTTTGATGATTTTAGCCATACTTTTCCACGAAATTTTTTCAAATGTCTTATTTAGAGTTTGAAATGGGCTCTACCTCAGTTCACAGAATATCGTCTGTATAAGAACACGTTTTCGTATAGCCACAATATAACGATATATTCGAATAGTCGTTTTTTTAGTCACATTTTCTAACGGATTTGTTTGATATTCGGTATTTGGGTTCATAAATGTGAATGTCCAATTCTTGCAATTCAGTATTTTGTCAATTTTAGCCACCTGTTTATTGGGTTTGTTGAAACTTCGTTATATTAAGTTCGTAATTGCTAATACCACCGGTGTTAAAACATTATCCATATTGGTCCACGGACCTCCGTAGCTACCATACAACGTTTCTGACTTATATTTGGCCTTTTAATAATTTTACCCACATTTTTGCACGGAATTTTTAAAAATGCTGAGATCATCGAATTTTTTGAAGAGCATTCTTTTTCCCCATATTTCATCATAAACAAAAATGGTTCTCTTTTGTTTTTTCCTAATTTAATTTATTTTGTATATTCATTTTTACTAGTACTCTAACCATTTGAGATACGTGGTCGTCTTAGACAACAATGGGTTTACAATCATCTTTGGTAATTGACATCAGTTTCAGTTGTTTGCTGTCCTTGTTGTTCTTCACAAATTCACAATCTCCAAAGGATAGGTGTCTGAAATTGAATTCAATTTATTTATGAGTGATTTCGGAATAAATTTAATCATACTTACTCTGTTTCAACAAAGTTGACCAACATTTCTAGGAATTTCTTGGAAATGATAACCTCATCGGGACGGGGTGGACTACGCACCGGATAGTGGAAGATTAGGGATAAGTCGTCTAAATGATTGGTACCTGGAAAGGAAAAGAAGATGGAAGAATTATGAAATAAACAAATTGTAATACATGGAGAGAAGACCATCAATATGTCTAAATCGTTTGTAGATATGATACATTCCAATGGTTTTCTATGGATAGAAGATATGTTATAGATAGGGAAATAAGGCTGATTAACAATCCTGAACTTAAACTGATAAAGGACTTCTATAAAGGGTTCATAAACTCCCTTAATATATACTTAAGCCAATATTTAATGCTGTAACCTAACTTCTATTAAAATTCTTACCATATTTGAAATCCTTCTTCCCTGTCAGAGCATATCCCAAACTATAATCGGCCGGATTGTCATAGACATAACCATAGATGGGACTATCCGATTTTTCACTATGCAATTTCATCGCTTCCAATAGGCCATCTTTAAACAATATATCCGTATAAATCTCTTGAACCTGCCAATAATTTTCCACCGAGAAACTCAAATCTCCCATATATTTGCGGCGCAATTCCTTGGCATATTCCACAGGTTGGTCAGTGATGCTACGCAAAAAGAGATTTGGTGGTGCCAAATCCAGCCATTTCTCATTCAAATCATAGATATACTCCTTGCCTGTCTTTGGATTAATTTGCAGTAACTCCGCAGCATTGTAGCCACCATCTTCGGAGGTATAGGTGACCAAATAGGGGATGTGAGTGTATTGTCCCGATTTGATGATATCCCTTGGATGCCGAGTCATAAAGGCATTTGTCGCCTTGGGATGTTCAACAACGGGGCCAAAGGTGGAGAAGGGATTATAGCCGAAATTCAGCAGATATTTCACTGTGGATACAATATCCCCAGCTGGCTTGGCTTGCAGACATTTCTTAATTTCCTGGGTATTTTCCAAATTGGGACATTTCAAAATCTTGGCCACCTTGAAAGCATTTTGCCGAGCAGAAGCCATTATCTTTACCCCTCAGACGGCCATTTTCAATTTCCACAACCAATGGATCTTTATTCCTATTTCCACACCAAATACTATACAAGACGAATAAAATCGAACCCAATACGAAAAGTTTAAACTTCATCTTCTGTTGCGGCCGGCTACTCGCGAGCGACTGATTTTTTCTTTGGGTGGGAAAAAGCCTTGTCATCTAGACGAATTTAAATTCTGGATTACGTACCGAGATAATGAAATCCAGAGGTGTGTGATAGGTCAATTTTTAAGCTGACAAGGCGTGAGCCTTATCAAAAAAATGATTTTTTTTCAAAATTCTGTATTGAAGAATTGTTTGTTTTCGGAATATTACCGGTATGTTTTATTCGCTGTATTAAACAATAAATGAAATTAATTGTTTCTTTATCAGCTATTCGGCCAAGTAGTAGGTTATTAGCACTGGTATAGATTGGGAATAGTTATATTTGGAAGTGTTCTTTTTTGATCTACATTATCGGAATCCAATAAAAAAATTATGTCAAATTTTCCATTGTGCAGCATATCTTATCGCAGACCACCTCTTGTTAGAAGTCAATAACCCAGTAATAATGCATTGTGGATCAAATTTGATAAGGTGGCCAAAAGTTATAGCCATGCATGTTTACCGACTTTAAGACGATTCGGAGATCAGATCCGTCAGCGAAGAAGAAAAAAATGCATATATTCGGTTCAATGAAATACATTTTTATACCCCCTAACATGGAAAAGAGGGTATATTGAATTTCTTTACAACACCACCAAATATTCGTGGGAGACTATAAAATATTTTCATGACCAGCGTAAAATTTTAAATCGATTTAAGAATGTTCATCTGTTGAGATCATCCCAAACATAATGTTATCCAAAATTTTTGGGGCACAACACTGCAAACAATGTGAGTATTTTTCAAACATTTCGTTTTTATACCCTCCACCATAGTATGGAGGGTATATTAAGTTTGTCATTCCGTTTGTAACACCTCGAAATATACATTTTACACGCCACAAAGTGATCAGAATAAAATTCTACGTCGATTTGGCGATGTCCGCCCGTCTGTGGAAATCACTCTAGCTTCCGAACGAAATGAAGTAGGTTGATAAAATTTTACTCAAATTTATATTATGTCTGCAGGACTTTTGGTATTGAAAATGGGTCATGTAGGTCCACGTTTTGATATAGCCCCCATGTAATGGTACCTCTCTTTTTTCGGTATTTTGGTGATTTAAGCGACATTATTCAACGGAATTATTTCAAATTTGGTATTTGAAGTTCGCAATGAATACTACAGCCTATGACAGAAAATTGTCCGTGCAGGTACACGCCTTCGTATGGCCCCCATATAACGGTACCTCCAGATATTCGGTATTTTGATGATTTTAGCGACATTATTCACCGGAATTGTTTCAAATTTGACATTTGAAATTCGTAATGGATACTACAGCCTATGACAGAAAATTGTCTCTGCAGGTCCATGTCTTCGTATAGCCCTCATATAAGGGTACCTCCCGATATTCGGTATTTTGATGATTTTAGCGACATTATTCACCGGAATTGTTTCAAACTTGGTATTTGAAGTGCGCAATGGATATTACAGCCTATGACATAAAATTGTCCGTGCAGGTCCATGTCTTCGTATAGCCCTCATATAACAGTACCTCCCGATATTCGGTTTTTCATGATTTTAGCGACATTATTCACCGGAATTGTTTTAAATTTGGTATTTGAAGTTCGTAATGAATACTACAGCCTATGGCAGAAAATTGTCTGGCTAGGTTCACGTCTTCGTATAGCCCTCTTATAACGGTATCTCTCGATATTCGGTATTTTGATGATTTTGGCGACATTATTCACCGGAATTGTTTCAAATTTGATATATGAAGTTCGTACTGAATACTACAGCCTATGACAGAAAATTGTCTGTACAGGTCCACGTCTTCGTATAGCCCCCATATAACGGCACCTCCCGATATTCGGTATTTTGATGATTTTTGCTACATTATTCACCAGAATTGATTCAAATTTGATATTTGAATTTCGTAATGGATACTACAGCCTATGGCAGAAAATTGTCTGGCTAGGTTCACGTCTTCGTATAGCCCTCTTGTAACGGTATCTCTCGATATTCGGTATTTGGATGATTATGGCGACATTATTCACCGGAATTGTTTCAAATTTGGTATTTGAAGTTCGCAATGAATACTACAGCCTATGACAGAAAATTGTCTCTGCAGGTCCACGTCTTCGTATAGCCCTCATATAACGGTACCTCCCGATATTCGGTATTTTGATGATTTTAGCGACATTATTCACCGGAATTGTTTCAAATTTGGTATTTGAAGTTCGTAATGGATACTACATCCTAAGACAGAAAATGAGCCATGTAGGTCTTCGTATAGCCCCCATATAACGGTACGTCCCGATATTTGGTATTTTGATGATTTTGGCGACATTATTCATCGGAATTGCTTCAAATTTGGTATTTGAAGTTCGCAATTAATACTACAGCCTATGACAGAAAATTGCCCGTGCAGGTCCACGCCCTTGTATAGCCCTCATATAACGCCACCTCCCCATTTTGGTATTTTGGTGATTTAAGCGACATTATTCAGCGGAATTGTTTCAAATTTGGTATTTGAGGTTCGTAATGGATATTCGTAATGTATCCAAAGTTCGGCCCTGCCGAACTTACAGCTTTTTTACTTGTTTAACTTACCAAATTTAATATCCTTTCTTCCAGAGAGAGCATAGCCTGCACTATAATCCGCTGGATTATCATAGACATAACCATAGATTGGCGTAGCCGATTTTTTACTATGCAATCGCACCGTTTCCAAAAGGCCATCTTTAAACAACACATCCGTGTACATTTTCTGCACCTTCCAATAGTTATCCACAGAGAAACTCAAATCTCCCATATATTTGCTGCGCAATTCCTTGGCATATTCCACCGGCCGGTCATTAATGCTGCGCAAAAAGAGATTTGCTGGTGCCAAATCCAACCATTTCTCATTCAAATCATAGATATACTCCTTGCCTGTCTTTGGATTAATTTGCAATAACTCCGCAGCATTGTAGCCACCATCTTCAGAGGTAACGGTGACCAAATGGGGTATTTGTGAATATTCGCCAGATTTGATGATATCCCTTGGATGTTTGGTTATAAAGGCATTTTTAGCCTTTGGATGTTCAACCACCGGACCAAAGGTGGAAAAGGGATTATAACCGAAATTCAGCAGATATTTTACCGAACTCACAATATCCCCAGCTGGTTTGGCTTGCAGACATTTCTTTACCTCTTGGGTATTTTCCAAATTGGGGCATTTCAAAATCTTGGCCACCTTCAAGGCATTTTGTCGAGCCGTTGTGCTAAGAGCCCAGGGATTGAGGGCAACACCACTAAATGACACAGCAGTTTTGGCTAATTTTTTGGTTTCCTGATTGAGCACATGATAATGTGTCGAGGCACCACCAGCTGAAAAGCCACTTAAGATCACTTTGCTGGGATCTCCACCAAAATTGGCAATATTTTTTTGTATCCATTTCAAGGCCATTTGTTGATCCTTCAAACCAAAGTTACCAGTTATGGCCTCATCTTCGGTACTCATGAATCCCAACGGTCCCAGACGGTAAACCACCTTGACCAAGATCATGTTGCCATTGCGCATCAAATAATCGGGTTCATAGAAATTCACATCGCCAAACATAAAACAGCCACCATGGAAATAAACCATTACCGGATATTTCTCTTTGCCAGTCTTGGGTTTATAAACATTGACGGTAAGGCAATCTTCCACGCCGGTTAGTTTGTCCTCACCCTCCTGAAATTGATCCCATTGCATGCAGGGTTTGGGTTTTACACTGGCATCAAATTGTGCCACCCATTTTTGATTATATGGCTGAGAAGCCTCAAATCTCAATGATCCCGTGGGTGCCTCAGCATAGGGTATGGATTCATAGCTATAGTAGAAGCCATTATCTTTACCCCGTAGAACACCATTTTCAATTTCCACAACCAATGGATCTTTATTCCTATTTCCACACCAAATACTATACAATACGAATAAAATCGAACCCAATACGAAAAGTTTAAATTTCATCTTCTGTTGCGGTTGGCTATTCGCGAACGACTGATATATATTTTTTACAAAAATCGCCTTATCATCCCAGTTGAAATAAATTATTGAATTACAAATTGCGATAATGAAATTGAAGTGGACAAATGTAGATATGTATGTGCATCCATATTTGTGGGTTGGATTGATAGGACAATTTTGAAGTTGCCGAGGGTCTTGAAAGTGAGGGTTATTATCGATAAGATTTTTTTTTATTTTTTTTTGGAATATTACTCCCATATTTTTAAAATATGAATGTGCTTAAATGATATAAATATCAATTGTTATGAAGCAGATATTGTAATTTCGGTAATTTAATTGTATGGCTTATTCGTATAGTACTCCTTGCGAGTAATTAAAGGATCTGTAGACCTAATTATATCAAAAAACCTTTTCTAGCCACTGTTGAGCGGACCCTGGACTAGCTTTTATATGATGATACGAAAATGAAGCCGAAAGAAAAATACCATTTCAAATTAGTTATTTTTGAGTTAAATTCAAAATTTGTAAAACATTTTTGTAATCTTGTTTTTCCTTCGCAATCGTCATACACAAACAGGCCCCATGAGTAGGTCCTTCTTCGACCTTATTAAGTGAGTTTTATACCCTTCACCATATATAGTATGGAGGGCATATTAAGTTCGTTCTTTCGTTTGTAACTCATCGAAATAATAATTGTAGACCCAACAAAGTATACAGGGTGAGATAAAAAACTGCAACAAAGTTAAACCCCATAATTTTTACATTTTTTTTTAATTTAATTGAATGAAAGCAAAAATGTCGGAAATACATAAAATATTAGAATAAGTTTAGATTTGTTCGAATTAGTCACGAATTATGTCTTTCAAACGGCCAATGAAACACTGCCGGAATGTTGCTCTGCGGTATTATGGCCCATTCCCGGCGAAGCGATTGCTTGAGGTGATCGACACTTTGGTATTTTGGTGTGCCAACCTTGCTTTCCAAAATACTCCAGACACAATAGTCCAACGAATTGGTATCCGGAGATTTTGGTGGCCATTGTGCGCTGGAAATGAAGCGAGAAACTTAATTTTGTAACCATTCTTTGGTGGCGCGTGCTGAGTGCGATGGTGCTGAGTCCTGTTGCAATGCCCAAGGTCTGTGCCCAAAATGTTTGCGTGTCCAAGGCTTCACCATGGCCGGCGCTTGAGTTCTGGTGGTGGTGTTGGAGTCCTGTTGGAATGTCCAAGGTCTGCGGCCAAAATGTGTGCGTGCCCAAGGCTTCAATACACCCTCCAGAATATTTTCGCGATAATATTCGGCATTTATTCTGATGCCACGTTCGATTAATACGAGCGGAGAGCGACCATCGGCTGTTATGGCGGCCCACATCATCATCATGGCCGGCGCTTGAGTTCTGGTGGCCAACCGAAGGTGCACATTTTCATCTGACCTCTTTGGCAAGTAAACACGATCATTTTGTTGTTGTTGTTTACAAACTGCTGGACAATGAATGTTTTCTCATCGGAGACGTAGAAAACCAAATTCGGCAGTTCACCACTTTCGGCCATGCGAAGCAACTCTTTAGCTCTTTTGAGTCTATTTTCTTTCTGTTGCGGTGTAAGTTCTAGCACTTTTTGAGATTTCAATGGCTTTACCCCAAGCTCATTTTTCAATATTTGACGAATGGAATATTGCAATGTGTTTAGCTCACGAGCTATTTTTCGACCACTGCGACGCGGGTTTCGATCAAGTCGGTTCTTTACTTTTCAAACCATTTCTGCTGATGTTGCTGTTCTCTTTGGTCCACTTCCTTGACGTCGGGCTACGCTACCAGTATCACATAATCGGTAACAAGCGATGGTTCGAGACATAAAAGATTTATTCACTTTTAAATGCTGCAGTGCTCTAACGATAGCCACTTGGTTGGTGGTTTTCCAGCCGAATATAAAGAAATCACACTATCCCGAATAATAATAATTTTTTTTCTGGAAAATTCTCACCAAAATGCTTTGGTACGCTTGTAAACAATATAATGAGCTATCACTGGAATAACTTTAACAGCTGTCGGACGAGTGGCTTAGACATGACAACAGTCTGAAGTGGGTTGCAGTTTTTTCATCTCACCCTGTATATATTCTTGATCAGCGTACAATTCTAGCTAAAAGCTAAAATTTTGCACAGATCAATCATTTCCCTGCAGGTAGTTCAAGTTCGAAGATGGGCTATATCGGTCCACGATATCGTATAGCCCCCGATATTCGTTGTTTTGACAAATTTTTCAATGAAATTGTCTGAAAACTCATAATACGGGTTCCTTCTGCGTACTTTACTCCGTGGAAGAGTATTTTCTATATAGGTCCACGATATCGTATATCCCCTATATAAGGGTACACCCCAATATTCGGTATTTTGATAATTTTAGCCACATTTTTGAATGAAATTATCTTAAAATCCACACAGCAAGTTCTTTCTAAGCACATTACTCCCTGGAAGAGAAAAGTCTATGTGGGTCCACGATATCGTATAGCCCCCATATATCGATACCTCCCGATATTCGGTATTTTGATGATTTTAACGACATTATTCACCGGAATTGTTTCAAATTTGGCATTTGAAGTTTGTAATGGATACTACAGCCAAAGACAGAAAATTTTCTATGCAGGTCCACGACTTCGTATAGCCCCCATATAACGGTACCTCCCGATATTAGGTACTTTGATGATTTTAGCTACACTGTTCACCGGAATTGTTTCAAATTTGGTATTTAGAGTCCGTAATGGGAACTACAGCCTATGATAGAAAATTGTCTAGACAGGTACACGCCTTCGTATAGCTGCAATATAACGGTACCTCCCGATATTCGGTATTTTGATGATTTTAGCGACATTATTCGCCGGAATTGTTTCAAATTTTGGTATTTGAAGTTCGTAATGCATATTACAGTCTACGACAGAAAATTGTCAAAGCAGGTCCACGCCGGTATTTCGATGATTTTAGCGACAATTTGCACTGGAATTGTTTCAAATTTGGTATTTGCAGTTCGTAATGGATACTACAGCCTATGACAGAAAATTATATGTGCAGGTACACGTCTTCGCATAGCCCCTATATAATGGTACCTCCCGATATTCGGTATTTTGATGATTTTAGCGACATTATTCACCTGATTTTTTCTCATGTTTGGTATTCGAATATTGTAATGGCTTATGACAAAAGTTTCCTATGCAGGTCCACGTCATAGTATAGACCCTAATATAACGGCCATATTCGGTAACGGCATTTTTAACGGATTTTATTTTTTTTTTTAATTTCCAAATTTGTTCCAAATGGTGGAGGGCATTTTTTTGGCTGCTTTTTTACTTGTTAATTTTAGCAATGCATTATAATTTATTACGAGAAGGGGAGAATTGTAACCACATTTTCGTGACCCTGTGACAGCAACAATTCAATCTTCTGCATTAGTAGTGTTACGTATGACCCTTGGCTTAAATATATAAAATAAATTGAATCAAGAAGTACTCCATCTTAATTTTAAACAATATTGATATTTGTTAGAGCCATAATAATTTCGCTGAGGAAAAAAAAATATTTTTTTTAACCGATCTTGAAATTTATGAAAGTATTTTTTTTATATTTGATTTATTGGAACCTTACCCACTGAATAATTGTTTGTAACAATCACAAAAATATTTTTGAGTAAATGCAGCTTAATGAAAGTTCTTCACACTTTCCTGAAGTTCAATGAAACCAGTAATGAGCTTACAAACAAAATCAGTTCATTTATTTATTATATTTTGAAACGAGTTTTTTACACAAAAAATATTCAATAATTCACACCTGAAAAAGTGATCACAAATAATAGCTAAAAACGCCAAAAACTAAATATTTAAGGAGTTATGGGCATTTTAAAATCTTCAATAATTCGTGCTTAAAAAAGTAATCACAAGTAATAGCTAAAAACGCCGAAAACTCAATATTTAAGGAGTTATGGCCATTTTAATATATTCAATAATTCACACCTGAAAAAGTGATCACAAATAATAGCTAAAAACGCCGAAAACTCAATATTTAAGGAGTTATGGCCATTTTAAAATAGTCAATAATTCACACCTGAAAAAGTGATCACAAATAATGGCTAAAAATGCCGAAAACTCAATATTTAAGGAGTTACGGCCATTTTAAAATATTCAATAATTCACACCTGAAAAAGTGATCGTAAATAATAGCTAAAAATGCCGAAAACTCAATATTTAAGGAGTTATGGCCATTTTAAAATATTCAATAATTCACACCTGAAAAAGTGATCGTAAATAATAGCTAAAAATGCCGAAAACTCAATATTTAAGGAGTTATGGCCATTTTAAAATATTCAATAATTCACACCTGAAAAAGTGATTACAAATAATAGCTAAAAACGCCGAAAACTCAATATTTAAGGAGTTATGGCCATTTTAAAATATTCAATAATTCATGCTTAAAAAAGTGATCACAAATAATAGCTAAAAACGCCAAAAACTCAATATTTAAGGAGTTATGGCCATTTTAAAATATTCAATAATTCAAGCTTTAAAAAGTGATCACAAATAATAGCTAAAAACGCCGAAAACTCAATATTTAAGGAGTTATGGCCATTTTAAAATATTCAATAATTCATAGCTGAAAAAGTGATCACAAATAATAGCTAAAAACGCCGAAAACTCAATATTTAAGGAGTTATGACCATTTTAAAATATTCAATAATTCATGCTTAAAAAAGTGATCACAAATAATAGCTAAAAACGCCGAAAACTCAATATTTAAGGAGTTATGGCCATTTTAAAATATTCAATAATTCATAGCTGAAAAAGTGATCACAAATAATAGCTAAAAACGCCGAAAACTCAATATTTAAGGAGTTATGGCCATTTGAAAATATTCAATAATCCACACCTGAAAAAGTGATCACAAATAAAAGCTAAAAACGCCGAAAACTCAATATTTAAGGAGTTATGGCCAATTTAAAATATTCAATAATTCATGCTTAAAAAAGTGATCACAAATAATAGCTAAAAACGCCGAAAAC